TTTCATTCTTTTTCGCTCTTATTCACTGCATCGTCCACTCACGTCATTCTCCTCCTTCCCTTCCTTTCTTTTCATTCCTTCTCCCTCTCCCTATCATTTCCGTCTTTATTCTCCCCTCTCCTTCCGTCTTTACTCCTTTTTATTTCATTTTCTTCCTTCCTCTTGTCTTCTTTTCCGATTTTTGTCTCCTCATCCATCCTTTCTCCATCTCCATCATCTTCTCCTCTTCCCCCCACTCATCCTTCTCCTTCTCCCTTCTCTCCTCTCCACCTTCCTCCTCTTCCCCCTTTATCTTACCACCTTTCCCCTGTCTCTCCCCTCCTCCTCCCTCCCATCCCTCCCTCCTTCCATCCCCCATTCCCTCTTCCATCCTCCCATCCCCCATTCCTCTTCCCTCCCATCCTACCTCCCATTCCCCCTCCCTACCTCCCATCCCTCCTAAACTTCCCATTCCCCCTCCCCTCCCTCCTCCCATTCTCCCTCCTTTCCCCCTTCCATTCCATCCCCCCTCCCCTCCTCCCATTGCCCTCCCTTCTCCCCTCCACCTCCCTTACCTCCCATTCCCCCTCCCTCTCCCCCCCTACCTCCCCCTCCCCCGTCCCCCCATTGCCCCACCCATTCTAACCCCCTCTCTCCCCTCCCCCCTCCACAGCCTGATCGCGGCGGCCGTCACCTACATCATGTGGTGCAACGTCGGCAAGGAGAAGATGAAGAAGTTGGGGCACTTGGGCAAGGCGGCGGTCGAGGACTCCGCCACGCTGGACAAGAGGGGCGTCCGCAAGGGATACTGGAAGGTGCGGCTTGGGCCGCCGTGGGCGTCGTGGGCGTCTTGGGAGACTTGTTGTTTAGTTGTTTCGTTGTTTTATCTGTTTTTTCTGAGGGTTGGGTGTTTTTCTTGTTGATTTTTGTCAGGGTTTTAATATTTTCTTTAATTTTGTATCTGAGTTGAGATTTATTGGATATCTATTTATTTTTCATGTGTATGTGCATATAGATATATATGTACTTGTGTATATACATCTTTGTATACATTATGTTAATATATATTACTAATTAGTTTTATCTGTTTCATCTCTCACGTGTTATTATTTCTCACTATTCACTCGCCCCCCCCCCCCCAGGTCGACTGCCGCTCCGCCTCCAAGGGCCTGTTCCTCGGGCTGCTGTGCCTCGTGGGCGGCATCGTGATCCTCATCATGTTCTTCGTGATGAAGAACGAGGACGACTTCCAGGACACGATGTTCTGGATCAGCAACGCCACGCAGATGATCATCCTGGGGCTGGCGGTCATCAGCACCGTCATCGGCTTCCTGCAGATCCCCAAGCTCTCGGTGTCGACCTCGAAGCCGCTCGACCTCGACCGCCTCCTCCTCTCGACGACCATCATCGGCGTCTACCTCTTCGCCGTCTTCGGCATGATCGTCGGGGGAATCAACTACACCGACTCGCAATCGCTCGCCACCTTCTGCGTGCACGCACTGCTGCTCGTGCAGGTAAGGGGGAGGGAGAGGGAGGAGGGGAGAGGAGGGGAGGGTGGGGAGGGAGTCAGGGAGATAGGGGAGGGAGGGAGGTGGGAGGAGGGGGAGGTAGAGGAGGGAGGGAAAGTAGAGGGAGGAAAGGGAAAGGGATGGGAGGAGTCAGGGAAGGGATGGGGAGGGAGAAGAGAGGGTGGGAAGGAGAAAGGGAAAGGAGGAGGAAAGGAAGAAGGAAAAAAGGAGGGATGTAAAACGTAGAAAGAGGGAAAACGGGAGAGATTAGATTTAGGAAGAAAGAGGATAGAATTTAGAAATGTGGACAGAAATAAAGAGGGAGAGAGAGAGAGTTGTTCACTTAAAAGATTTTTTCTCGTTTTTGTCTTATTCATGAAGGTTACATAACACAAAATCAAGTCAAACCGCTTGACGATTTCCCTTGTTTACACTGATACCTTTGGCCACCGAGCAAGGCATTCTAAAGCATCGCCGCCCCTTTTCCAGGTGTCTCTGCAGGGGATGCTGGTGGCGGAGGCGAGCCGGCGCACCTGCACCTCCAGGTACCAGATGCTGACGAAGCCGGGCCGCCAAGTGATCACGTTCCTGCTGTTCGCCAACATCACGCTGTGGATCCTGGACACCTTCATGACCCACACGAGGATCTCCCAGCACTTCCAGTTCTCCTTCTACGGGACGCTGGCGTGGGGCATCATCTCCAGGATCTCCGTGCCGCTGCTCATCCTCTACCGCTTCCACTCGGCCGTCATCCTCGTCGAGATCTGGAAGAACACCTACAGGACCAAGGCCGACTAGGAAGCACCACCTCCAGCCAGCTCAGAACCAAGCGGCCAGGCCCATCACCCTCCTCCTCCTCCTCAGGATCTCGGTTCGCCCTCGGACTCGGACGCGATTCGCTCCTCTCCGGGGAGGCGAACCGCCCCCCTACCTCCTCCTCCTCCTCCCCCTCCCGCCTCCCGACCCGCTCGCCCTCGACATGGTGAGGACTTGACTCCTTCCTCCCAAAGACAGTCTCGACTGCTTTCGACACGCCCTCCCTTCCTCCTTCGCAGCTTTACTCTCCTCTTCTTCAACGCCCTCTTCCCTCTCCTCCTCTTCCTTCCTTCCACGCTCCTCCGCCTCCGCCCTCCGCCAGGGCTCCCCGACTGCCGGCGCCGCCCTCCTCCTCCTGTTCTTCAGGAGAGTCTCAGATCTCCGCCACTGTCCCCGTCACGACTCACGTGATCCCCTTCCGCCCCGACTCTCACACTCCCCAACGACTCTACGACCAGATGGACCTGTACAACTTTTCTCAGGACTCACTCGCGCGCCCCGCGTCCCACGTCGTGCCGCCCGGCGCCCACGACACGCCGCACATGACGCTCGTGTCTCCGGCGGAGGCGCACTCCACCGACGAGAGGAAGAACAGGCTCAAGCGCAGGGACCTCAAGCTGCGGAAGCTCCTGTTCGGCGCCGACGTCAGCCTGCAGCGGCAGCGCAGCCTCGTCATCAAGGAGCTCATGGTGGGCCACGGGCACCAGGGCTGCCTCATGTCGTCGCGGCCCGTGCAGAAGGAGCTCCGGAAGCTCCTCCGCAAGACGATGAGGCTCGACAAGGACAAGACCAAGAAGAGCTCCCCGTACGAGAAGCTGCGCCGCTGGGTGACGCGGCGGAGGACGGGGAGGTCCCAGCTGGAGAACCCCTCCGACTGCAGCGCCACCAGCAGCACCTGCCACGACGTGTACGACCTTGACCACAGGCACGACCCAGACAGCGCGTACGACCAGGGCAACACGCACGACCACGGCCCCAAGGACACAGGGACGGACTCGTACCTCACCCCCAAACGACTCGACTCCAGACGCTCCTCCCGACGCAGCCGACGCTCCCCCTTCCCCAGGCGCTCTCTCTCGACCCGGAGCGGCAGCAGGAGGCGGCGACGAAGGGAAGGGCGCTACCACCTGGAGGGCGACGCGATCCGCAACGACCGCGCCAGTTTCAGGAGTAGCAGGAGCTTCCAGCGGGACACGTTCAGGAGACACTCGTCCAGGAGCTTCAGGGACGCTCGGCCTCGGTCCCCCTTCCTCGGCCTCGAGAGACGCAGGTCCTCGAGGAGGAGCCAGAGGGAGCCGCGCTCTCCGCGAGACGGAAGGCGCCGCGCGAGCCCCGCGTCGCCGGCGCCCCGACGGCACCGCTGGCCGTCGGGCTCCCTGCGGCGCCGCGACTGGGAGGACCGGACGAGCGGCCGCATTCCGAGGTCGGCCTCGCTGTCGTCTCGCCACAGCCGCCCGCTGACGTCCTCCAGCCGGCGCGGAACCAGCTCGGGGCGCCCGGACTCGCGGCTGGAGCGCGTCCGGCAGGCGTGGCAGGAGGACGAGGACTACTACCTGAACCCGTTCGACTCGTGGCGGCTGCGGCACCAGACCCACCGCCCGGGGTTCTCGTCGCCGTCGCCGCCCGCTCGCCGGGGACGCCGTGTGCCGGAGAGGATGTTCCCGGACCGCACGCCCATCCGACAGCGCCTGCGCGAGTCGTGGCGGGCCAAGGAGAGGGACGACGACGGACTTCCGAGGCGCCCGACGCCCCGACAGCGCCCGCCCTCCGAGGAAGGCGAGCTGGAGGCCGACTCGCCGCCGCCCGGCCCGCCGCCGCTCGTCCCGCAGCCCGCCGACGTGTTCTTCCTCCGACCCGACCGACAGTCCTTCTTCCCCCCCACGCCCATCCCCCACCCCCTTTCCCCCGCGCCCTCCCCCACCCCCTTTCCCCCACGCCCCTCCCCCACCCCCTTCCCCCCGGACCCCCACACCCCTCCCCCACCCCCTCCCCCGCAAGAGGCCCCGCCCCTCGTCCTGGGCTGGCTGCAGGTGCCACCGCAAGAGGACGCCCCTTTCGCGCGCCCCAAGAGCAGGACGTTCCGAAAGGCGCCGTGGCTGCAGGACCTCAACTTCCTGTAGCGCCAAATCACCGCCCGCCCCCCTCGGGCTTGTACATACACCGCCACACGCCACCACACGCCACCACACGCCCACTCGCTCGCTGCTGCCGAGGCCGTGTCTCGCTTGTGTGGACTGTATTATCGTTAGTTACTTGTTGTTGTTGTTGTTATCATGTGCCTTATTGTTGTACCAAATGTTAAGTTTCGGCGCCTTGTATGATACACGAAGACGCGCGGCTGGCGACTCGCACGCCCACGCCCGCACCCCGGGGAAGCGAACCGTGACTCGCTCGACTCGCCCAGGGAGGCCACGGGACTCACGGTCAGCTCACACTCAAGACTCGACGCTCCTGACTCACTCAGACCCTCGAGGCCCGAGTGAGTCGTGGTGGAGGGCCCATTAACCCCAAAGTTCTCGCTGCTGACTCGAGCCTCCGAAACCCAAATGAGTTACGAGGTTTGCCATCTCCCCCCCCCCCCCACTTCCCTGACCCAACGAGTCACGAGTCTCCCCCCCCCCCCCAGTGTCCTCCCCGACGACGCTACGGCGCGGAGAACATCCTACCGGAGTCCTCGAAGAAGCTCCTCCTTGAAGC